ATTAAGATAAACCATAATTACGATTTCATCTATGCCGTAAAATGGCCAATATTGCTTCTCCCCCGATAAGTCTGCCCACTTCTTATTAACAGATAGAACCGGCTTCTTTGATCCGAAGATCAAAATTCATTATAACTACGTGGTGCTGTCCGCCGCAGTTGATATCTCAAAAATCTACACACTCGCATAGAGTTTGTCTGCCCGCCCATCGATGGCGAAACCTTTAGTTTAGCTAAGAAGTGCTCTTCTACGTAGCATATGCATATCTCGAGCCTTCATCGGAACTGATACCAGCATGGGCTTCGATTCTACTCTAACCCTTTCAGTACCATAAACCTATATTCGAACAATTCAAAGAATTGTAAATTGTGACTGATTGACGGCTAAATAAAGAAAAGCTGGAGTGAAAAAGTTAGAAAAACAAATTCCAATGTAAAAATAAAGTAATTTTTCCTATAAAGTTTTTATTAATGTTTTTTCCATAAAAATTGATTTTTGTTCAAAATATTTTTTTGTAATATCTTTTTAAATATGGTAAAAATATCTAAATAAAAAGTAGGCAATTTTATTTTTTACCTTCCTTTTATTAGCTCGGGATGTAACTATGTAATATTGATGCGCCTAAAAGATGCAGCGATTTCCATTTCTAAAAAAATGTCAGTCTTTTGTTTTTCAAAATTAATGGTTTTTCAAAGCCAAATATTACTATTATTTAATTTAATTAAAAAAATATATACATACATGTATTTTTTCTTTCTTTCAAAACTATTTACTCCACCATAATTTTTTTTGAGTTTTTCTAATGTTTGGCAAGTTATAACATTAGTTAAATAATTTTCTATTTCTAAAATCCTTTAAACCATTTTTTTTTTCTAAAAAAATGTTAATATCCATTCTAAATAAAATTATTTTGATAATTATTTTTAGCAAAAAAAAAAAAAAATACAAATACACAAAACAATTATTTTTAAATTTTAAATAGTTTTTTCTATTTTTGGGGAGAATCATTTTTTGCCAGTAGTTAAACGAGTTAAGAATGTCGTTTAACACAACGCAAGAATGCAC